TAGAAAGATATCTCAATATATATATATATATATATATATATATATATATATATATATAATGACTAAAAAGAAATTATCCAAGTCCAATAGAAGCAGGCTTGTGCACTTAAAAGAGGAACAGAATCCGGAATCTACGAAGTTACATAACAAAAAACAAAAGACCAATTAGAAATCATAAAACCTTGAAAATTCACTTAAGGCGAAGGCTATTCAGACAAGGAAACTGATAACGGTGAATGATCAGACCATGTTAGGGCGTTGAGGAAGAAGAAGATTGTAAAACTTGTTATGCAAGAAGAAACTCTTCCCTTTGCTATCCACTGCTTTCTTCCACCCGCACCATCCGCCGTTCACGATCTTCTTGTGATCGTCGCTTCCTGTGTAATGCGGATCCAATATTAGGAACGCGCAGTCTCCGGTCGCCTCCTCATAATCCACTCCCAAAAGAGTATAAGCGAGAACCCCTCCTCCTAGAAACAAACATTTCGTTACATAGTTTTCATTTTATGAAATGTAAATGAGGTTTTTACACAGAATGAAACCAAATACAGATGAAGATATCTGATACAATTCCTAGATCGAAATTCTCTAGATAAACAGAGGTGGAAAGAATCAAAACCCCTAATCAACTTGTTTCACGAGAAATTTAGACCCAATTTCTTATAATACGAAACGTCCTAAAACCCTAAACAAAGTTGGATTAGAAACATTAGTGTTGTGGTTTCGATCACGAGTAGATTAGGGATTTTTTTTTTTTGTTAGTTTCACCGCCTAAATAGAGAATTTTCGATCTAGGAATCATGTCAATATCCAAAATATAGATTTACATGAAGATGAATTAGAAAACTTCTATGGAAAGAGAAACCAATGTTACATAGTAACCGTGTAAGAGATGCAAAAAGTTCTGTCCTTTATAACCAAACCGTTTTTCCTCGTAACTTACCGATCATAATCAGGGTTCCTTTACATAGTTACCGTGTAAGAGATGCAAAAGCAAAACGTTCCATCCTTTATAACCAAACCGTTTCCCCCCTGCCTTACCGATCATTACCAGGTTCCTTACATAGCTACCGTGTAAGAGATGCGAAAAGTTTTGTCCTTTATAAATTATAACCAAAACATTTTTCCTAGTGGCTTACCGATCATTATCGGGGTTCCTTGGTTCTCAAAGTGCATAGCTAACTCGCGGCATTTCTCTGGAAGCTCAGATCCAGATCTCACGTTCATGATTTTGCAACTCACCTATAAAAGGGAAAAGCATTTTACTTCGGGATTTAGGTTTAATCTATCCGAGAAAGAAAACAGAGCAATTTTCGACTCTCCCCCGAGTTTTGTTTCTGATTATATAACTTGTGTTAAGGACAACAAAATGTAAATGACAAACTAGCCAGCTAATCACAATTGCAACTTCTTAGTCACCGTATGTATGATTTGTTCATTATTGACGGGGATAGTTCCAAAACTAGATTTCATAGTTTTCACCATCAGAAAATATATCCGGGGCAAGAATGTTTTCCATTATTTCACCTAAAATTGAGACTTATGCGGTGTAACTCTTCTATATGCTCTCAACTTAGGATGATTTGGATATCAAAATAAATTCAAACTCGAAATTTCAGGGTAGAAAGCTTACACCCAGAAGTTTATCCAACACGAAACTTAATTCAATGGCACCGATCCACTCGCGCGACCCTATAAAAGAAGGATCCTTGTCCCCGATCTCCACAAGTGTCTGTTGTATTTCCCTGAGAAGCCAAAAAATATCAGCTTAAGCAACGGTGGAATCCCGAGTAATCAATTCTCTCGAGGAATTGTTTCTTACCTATGGGAAGGAACAGCAATGGATGTATAGTGTTGAAGCCTAAACCAGGAGATAATAGTCTGCAAGGAACGGTATGCACAACCCCAGCCCTAGCAAAAACACGATAAAGTAAGAAGTTAGAAAGTTGTTCATATTATGATATAGCTAATTTTCAGGCAATTCGAGTGAGGCGGGATCATTGTCAAATATTTATACAAAATCTGCTTCTTTTTCCTAGTAAGGGCTGTAGTGAAGATATTTACGGCACAACAACACTAGACAGTTTTCTATACTTTCTGCTTTTATTTTCTTGTTGAATATCGTTTCCCCAGCACCGCAACTTCATTAGTTAGTGTCAGATCATTACATTTACACACATTTCAAAACATTGAGAGTTGGGAGAGCAGAGAAATATATATACCGAGTCATCAAAACCATCATGAAGGTAATGGTAGTACTCATAAGGCCCTTGGATAAGAGATACAACACCACCCGAAACTGCATAGAAATTAGGAATTGAAGAGAATGGATTTCTGGAAAAATGAAAACAATGAGGCAGAAAAAAATATGAGCAGAAATAGTGCTAACCTCCGCTGCTAGGAATTCCGATATGTACATCTTTGAGCAAGGTGGAACCTAATGATGTCCATATAATATCATAATTGGAGCCAATATAGAATTTTAAACACAAAGAAATAAAGAGATACAGAAGAACTTGGCATATGTACCCCTTCTCTTCAGGTTGATCCTTGAGTCATCATTCAAAGACAAATCCAAGGCATTGGCAATTCTTAAAAGCGGGCGATCCATAGGCAGAACAAGCCTCAAGTGCAGGGATTTTCTAACATCAACTGCAAAGAAAGAAACAATTAAGAACCATATGTCAATTGTCAAGTATCACGATATAAGTATCGGTATACGTGTACCCAAATCTTGCGAAAAATGATATATTATCACGTCATATTTGAGTGTACTTACACTATATATATACACATACATATCTAATTTATTTAAATGTCTTAAGGTGTAATAAGTCATTACTAGTGATGGATATTTCACTTTTATTTGGTTTTTTTTAATCTTGATTTTTTTATTTTTTTAAAAAAATATATCCATCAATTTTATTTCGTATTTCATTCGTTTTGTTTTTTTTATTTGCATCATCTTTTCATTAAAAAGATTTTATTTTTTTAAAATATTTTCCGGTTAATTTTGAATTCAATTTAAATTTTGGTGATTTCATTTAAACAGATCATACCAACCAATTTAAAATCGAATTTAAAATTATATATGATTTGGTTTAATTTAATTTAGATCGAGTCGTTGTTTATAGAGTAGGGAAATCTCTAATTCATAAGCATAACAGAATAATATTTAAAATTATGGTCCATTATTATTAAAGTGCGGTATAACAAGTAAATCATGGAACCTTCAGGTTCGAATCCTTCAGACGAGCACCCTACTAGGGCTACATTAAGAAAATGTTTCTTGGGAATCTTTATATGAATCTACTTGTAATAACCTTATTTTAACATAATGCTAAACGTTACCTTGCTTCATTTCGGTCTCCCCATAGTTAAGCTCGTATATAGTTGTCACTGGGTGTACTAACCCAGGTGGATTAAAGTGACAAACACGCAGCTGCAGGGGAAGAAAATCTTGATATAGTCAAGATAAACCATTACGTTACATGAACAAAGAAGCATCAAATTGATACTATGAGACATTGGACAAGAAAGCTATTTCTCTCTTTTCAATATTCCAAAAGGCCATAAATAGAATTCTGAAACTTTAGAATGCTTTTCTGCTATATCAGCACTTTAAAATGTAGAAAGAAACTTACTGATGTCAAATAACAGGAGTTCAAAAATCCTGAGAATGGAGGTTCTGAAGACACTATCTAGTACACTCACATTAATCTGAAAGGAACTGACATGAGGAAAGGACAGCATTACCTGAGGATGTTCCAACAAGAGGTTTGGTAAAATAATCTTCTTCAGTGAATATAACTGATCAACCAAAGCAGGGACAACAAAACTTGAAATCGCATGCATAAGAGGAAGATCCTTGGGTGCATAACAAAGCACGTCAAGCTTCAAATCAACAACAACGATCCTAGATTCTTCGGTAGCTGATGAAACAAGGAACAATTAAGAAATAAAAATTATTAGAATTGTATATTCAGAGTACCTCCAACATACGTTTGATATGAAAACCTAAATGACGAACATTCGGATAAGCACCTGGAAAATATTCTGCGCCAGGGGCATCAGAGTTCAGGGACTTTTCAGACCTATTGTGTAGAACCGATACTTGGATTTTATCTGCATTCTAAGACGGCAAAATTTCAAGGAAAGCGAAACCAAAAGCCAAGTGGTAACAAAAGGGACAACAACACAATGATACAAGAAATTTTGGTTCTCTTACCTCTGCTGAAAATCTTGCTGTAGTTGATTTGCTGTTCAAGCAAAAATGTGAACATGGCAGCATTTGTTTGTCAGAGTCTCGGTCAGAAGTCCCAAGAAGGTTGATATTCAAAGCATCAGCGCCAAAGCCCAAATCTTTTCCACGGAAGATAACTGGTTTTGGCAATTCTCCAGATGCTTTCTGCAGGGTCTCAGCCATATATGCAACATATGGTTCGTTGAACTGGGAAACAAGTGCCTCTATGGCATCTGAAAACATCTCCTCACAACCTGATAAAGAATGTTACTACAAATGTGAATACAAAAAGACCAACATCGCCAGTTATCATGCATGCTGCTTACAGTTGACAAGATATTTGCCTTCTGACACAGTTATTTTCCGGTCACAACACTTGGAAGAGTGAAATTAAAGACATCCAGATTGAGGACATACCAGATGGCTTGTTAGCGGGAAAATAGATGGGCAATTTGATTGGCAGCTCACAGTGAAGCAAGCAACCGGTCTCCCAGAGATACTTCTCAGGTCTATCCTCGTACACAACAGAAGTAACAGGCTCTAACTTGGTTGACTTCTCGCTTCTAGAGACAAAGAGGTGAAAGTTACCGGATTGTGCATCCAAAACACCACCAACCGTCTTTTCGTCATCTAACTCTCCCCCCTTAGATAAATGCTTTCGTAATCGCCGAGCAGCTCCAACAGCCTCCATGGCATTTTTCTCGGCATCAGAATTCCCAATTATTAGAGCCCCAATGACTTCAAAACCTTTTGGTAATAATACCCGAAGATCATCTGCTCCAATTTTTTACAGAACTGACTAATTTCAACTTCCTAATATAGAACTGAACATATAATATTACACACTGAAAAATAAGGATAACCAGCTTGTGAGATTCAACCATAGAAACATGCATACAGGAACCAATGTAATCCCCTGAAAATCTAGTTTAGAGACTAAGAAAGATGAAGAAGATGATCACCCAAGACATGCTTGAGCATCAGCATGAACCCCCAGGAAAATAAAAATAAAAAAGACCATTTAATGTCATTCATTCTCATCCAAAGACAACAAACAGAGAACAGATGATCAATGAAGAAATCAACTTCAGAGCTCTGAAACCACCATACGAGGCAAAGACAGTTATCATCATGCAATACAACTTAACATAAAATCAACCGTTCAATTTAACTTCAGCAACAAATTTCCAAGCAAAACAAGCTCAAAAACGGCTCCGTTACCAGATTCTCGGACGAAATCTGGAGAAGACGACGGAGGAGCCCGATGGATGCATCGTAAGGTGGAGACGACGGTGAAAGGCGGGAAAAAAGGGGATCCGATGAGCCATTGGAAGCTCGCCACTTCATTGCCGGAGATATTCAAACTCCGGCACAAGACTCGTACGGTCGCCTTCTCGCTCGAAACCGCCATGGATCCGCCGATCAGTTACTTCCGTACGACAGGCCGACTGATCCCTCCACGACATCGTAGGAGAAAAATGGGCCTAATCGGATCAGGCCCATTTAGTAAATATTTTGGGCCTAACTAAAATATCAATTTATTTTCTAGAGAATCTTGGGCTGACCCAAACAACAAGTCCTTTCCAATTTACATTATATTATAACCCCGTAAACTAAGGTGATACATGGTTCAGATTTTTCATCGAATTGAATTATTTTTTATTAAAATATATTTTCTGTTTTTATTAAAATATATTTGCTGTTGAGACAAATTATTGCTTTTACTCCATTATTTTTATACTCGATTAGATTTGATTTTGACTTGCAATTCTTTAAACTCAAATCCAAATAAAAAATATTTTACTATCCATTAATTTAATTAGAAATCATTATGAGAAAAAGAATATAGAAAGAGACAATTTCGTTATCACCCAATTAAAAATGTCAGGAGAAGAGGACACAATGTGAATGAGAGAAGTTGCAAAGTAGCTTTCAGACCAACCGACCATGCACATGCACATGCACATGCACATGCACAAAGCCTTACGTCCTACGTAGATTGATTCAACCATTCACTTATTTCACTACAAAGACACGGAAGCCACATTTTTTTTTTTATAATTCGGCTAGTTAATTTTTTTATAATTCGGAAGTTAACTAGGCGTTCGGCCCACTCGAACCACTTTATTTTTTTCCTCTCAAATGAATCACGACCTCAATTTAATTGTATCTGCTAAATGACTAACCGTGTTGCAACAGACTAAATCCAAGGTTCATCGATATAAAAATCGATAAAATACTGAATAAACCGTTAAAAAAAAACACTAAGAATTTGATAGAATGGGACTTTGGGCAAGCGTATATTCTTTTGTATTTTGTTTTCGTTATATATCTGTACTGAATTCTATGATATTTTGTCTACGGGTAAAGCAAAATTAATATATTTTTATTTAATTTTAATTTAGAGAAGATAGTTTTACAGGGATAAGTAAACAAAAGTTCTTTGCACAAAAAAAAAGTAAACAAAAGTTTGTAGTAGTCAAACATTTAAAAAAAACCCTAAATTTTCTCATGAAATGACCATGCATGTAAAGTGTGCAGTGTCTGCATAACATTTTTTAAATTTAAGAATTTCCAATTTTAGTAGTAACATTTACTAATTTTCCAGTATAATGGATAAATAAAATTATAAATAATTTGCCACCCAGAATTATCAACTAATTAATTATTCATAATTTGTTAGGTATAATAATTACTCGAAATTAATAGCTGAATTTATTGGAAAGTGGTGATTTGATGGGAGCACATGGCTGGGCACTCTCCTGAAACCCAACTTTTATGGGCCCATGTTGGCCCAGCTCTCTCTCTGCCACGGTGATGGCATGCGCTTCCAAACTTTTTAATTTTGTGATACAAGATTTTTTTCTTCAATTTCAGATAAAATAAATTATTCATTTTTTAAAATGTTCGTTTAAAATTAAATATTTAAAAAAAAATCATTTTCGTTCGTTTCATTTTTTCAAGAAACATATTAAGAAGCGAAGTGATAGGAAAATACACAACTAAAAGGAAAAAAAAAAACATTTTTATGTTTTAGAAAATATATAAGCTCCCAAGTCACAAAAAGATGATAAGGACAACTGAACGAACATTTTGTCATGTCTTGGTGTTCATAGAAGGTGTCCTATATCACCTCTCTACTAATCATGTCTCCACTGAAATGGGCTCACATATATATTTGTGATATTTAAACTAATTAATTGTTTGATTTTATAGATTATCCATCTTTAATTTTGGAAAAATGTTTATTCCCCTTAATGAGGGTTTTTTATTTACTTTTAGATTTTTTTTTTGAAACTTTTTAGAATGTAATTGTCGTGATAAATTAATTGAAATTCTTGAACTTTAAAATTCTTGATTCTCTTGGATGTAATTGTGGTGATATAGTTTTATATATGTGACATGAAATTCTTTAACTTTTTAGTGAAGGATTGACTAGGAAATTCACATCTAAGTTAATATGGTATCATGACAGTATATATGAATCTGTAATTCGGATTACTAGTTAAGAAATTATACTTTTCTTGGATATTTCATATTTATATTTTGCATCTTCAACATTTCGAAAAACATTTTATTAATCAATGTATATCTTTCAAAAAGAAATTCCATGAATTTATGTTTATTCGAATACTTGTGAATTTTTATCATTTTGTATGTATTTTTGGATCAAATGGTTTTTAATTTTATCGAGTGATTGATTATTTTTACGTATGAAAATCGTGTTCATGCGCGTACGGCTATTCATGGGTGTCCGACCCTCGGGTGTAAGTATCGGTATACGTGTACCCAAATCTTGCGAAAAATGATATATTATCACGTCATATTTGAGTGTACTTACACTATATATATACACATACATATCTAATTTATTTAAATGTCTTAAGGTGTAATAAGTCATTACTAGTGATGGATATTTCACTTTTATTTGGTTTTTTTTAATCTTGATTTTTTTATTTTTTTAAAAAAATATATCCATCAATTTTATTTCGTATTTCATTCGTTTTGTTTTTTTTATTTGCATCATCTTTTCATTAAAAAGATTTTATTTTTTTAAAATATTTTCCGGTTAATTTTGAATTCAATTTAAATTTTGGTGATTTCATTTAAACAGATCATACCAACCAATTTAAAATCGAATTTAAAATTATATATGATTTGGTTTAATTTAATTTAGATCGAGTCGTTGTTTATAGACAAATGTGGTGATTGGTGGGGCATATTCGAGTTATATAATCGCGGCAATTAATTCTCTGCCTCCAATCCCAAAGTAGATGAAATAAAATTCATAAGAGCCGACAAAAAATAAATAACGGTGGGTCCAAAATTAATTAATTCACCTAATTAACACCTCAATTCTTCATATATAAACGTACGACTCTCCTCCACTTTCCACACTTAAACTCCATAAACCCTTTTTTATTTTATTTTAAAAAACTATATATGATGAAAATTACAAGTTTTTACAATTTATTTTCCGCATTGCTTCCCCTCTTTTGCCTTCTCTCCACCGCTGTCGTTTCCTCCTCTTCGTCAGTCCCCGATCCTGAGCTCGTCGTGCAAGAGGTACACAGGTAATATGTACTACAGTCTATAGGTATATTATATAGACATTTTCATTGTACTTGCATGGATTTGGTTATTATATATACGAGTGTACGTATATTGATTTATACGTACGCAAAACTGTATATTTTGTGTGTATTGGTCTGCACGTTCGTTACAGTTCATGTCTTTTACATTATTACCGTATTATCTCATGGAATATATACTTTCACCTTCACCTAACTAGGATGTTATTTGACACGTAGGAAGCTAAACGAGTCGATAGCGAGGAGGAATTTAGGGTTCTTCTCTTGCAGGACCGGTAATCCGATCGACGACTGTTGGAGATGCGATCCGGAATGGGAGAAAAACCGACAAAGATTAGCAGATTGCGCGATAGGGTTCGGGAAAAATGCTATCGGCGGTCGGGATGGAAAATTATACGTGGTCACCGACCCTAGCGACAGTGATCCGGTGAACCCTAAACCCGGAACCCTAAGATATGCGGTAATCCAGGACGAACCGTTATGGATCATATTCAACCGAGACATGACGATACAGCTAAAAGAAGAGCTCATGATGAACTCGTTCAAGACGATAGACGGCCGGGGAGCGTCCGTACACATAGCCGGAGGACCTTGCATAACCATACAATACGTCACGAACGTAATAATCCACGGCGTGCACATACACGACTGCAAGCAAGGAGGGAACGCTATGGTGCGGGACTCCCCGCGGCACTACGGGTGGAGAACGGTGTCGGACGGCGACGGCGTCTCGATCTTCGGCGGAAGCCACGTGTGGGTCGATCATTGCTCGCTTTCGAACTGTAACGACGGCTTGATCGACGCGATAAGGGGATCGACGGCCATAACGATTTCGAACAATCACATGACGCACCATAACAAGGTGATGCTGCTCGGGCATAGTGACACGTATGCACAAGACAAGAACATGCAAGTGACCATTGCGTTTAACCATTTCGGTGAAGGGCTCGTCCAAAGAATGCCG